CAATAGAAAGAATTTATCCGAATGGTTGTTTTAAGTCATAAATTATGCATGAGTTGAGAAAAAGGGAGAAGAAAGAAGGAAAGAAGAGGAGAAGATATTTTTATCAATAAAATTATAATGTTTTTAACATTTTGATTGGTATAAAAAATTTTCTTTTCTCCTTAATCCTAATATAGGATAATAATTTAAATTTTAAAATTAAAAATTTTAAATTTGAACCTCAAAATAAACAAGTAAAAATTAAAGAAAAAAAGACTATTTATATTGTACAACATATTATTTGATATATTAAAAAAATATTCATATTAAAGAATTTGATAAATACAATAAGAGTTTTCTTAATTTGTGTAACCTAGGTTTTTAAAGTATAGATTAAAAAAACCAATATAAGAATACACACATGTAGTGAGGGGAGTACGGTATTATTTGAGTAGAAATACAGAAAGAGCAGTCTGTCTTATGTATGGCCATTCCTTACAAGTGGCCGGGAGCGTATAAATACGGTGATGGAGGAGGGATCTCTGATAGCGAAGAATGTTAATGTGAAGTCTATCGTCTTTAATATGGACCCTACCGTACATGCTTCTTTTGGGATTTCAATGGCATTTCATTTGTGGCATTGGTTCCTTCGATTATAAATGTTATCCAAAACATATATGGAACCAAGTGTTACAATTTTGTACTTTCTGGATTGGAGTGATCTAGAATCATCATTTTTTTGAATTTGTTGAATTTTGATAGTAGTCGTAGATATACAAAGGACTGTGCTCCATATATGGAGGAATTCACTTTAGCAAAAATTTTCACCCATAAATTTTATATTACAAGAGAGTACTCTAATGTGAGGATGCTTTCTTGTAAATGTCTTGCCTTTGATGTAATTAAGATTACTTAAGAAAAATAAAAGTAAATTTTTAATTTTCTGAACCAAATTGATGTGTTGTATATCTCGCAGTATGATTAAAATTGGATTCGTGCAAAAGTATTCATGTTTTTTTTTTTTTTTTTTGACCATTTAAATGGGTCTAACGCAATTTTACATGGAATTAGCCGAATCAAATATTGATAATAGCCTTATTATTTAATTATCGTAAATATGTTAGGAGTAACAATAGTGGTTTTTTTAATATGTATTTTAAGAGTGTATTTATTGTATTTTTTTAATTATAAAAAATACAAAAATTGAGATTAATTTCAAAATTAATGCTCAATAAATTACTTTAATTGAATAGTTAATAAAATTAAAATTAAAATTTATTTTTATATAATAATTAATAATCAAAATATGTAATAATTACATCATTTAACTTGTGATTTTAAGAAGTAAGTTAAAAAAATTCTTAATTCAAATTATATTAGATTATAAAAGACTAACCACATTTGATTAAAAGGATCTCTAAAACGGAAAGAAAATCACTTCATTAACAACTGATGTTTTAAAGTTTAAATCATAAAATATCAAACTCATATAGTATTTTGTACATTATATTTTACACATGAAATGGTTCATTAACCTGAATTGCAAGCTGAAGGCCAGCTTTTTCTTAAATTAATGCACAATTTATTATTTTTGTTCACATTTGCCTCTCTATTTGCTTCTCTATATGAATACATAGATAAAGATTCCTTTTAATATTGTTAGGAAAGAAAATCCAGATTGATTTTGTGTGATTCTCTTACATAATCAGCTTTCCACATTTAGGTCGCCTAGCTCAAATCCAGTAAAGTGGGTGCAACCCCATTTTAATTAATTTATTATTATCTTACCCTTACCCTGATGATGTGTTTTTCAACACATGAATCATCTTACCCTTTTCGCCTTTATCTGAGTAACTAATTAAACCAAAAAGATTGATTAATGTATATTATCTTGTTGAATACAGTACCTGGTTTAATTAAACGTGGGCTGTAATTAGTTACTTTAATGAATTAATTAAACTACTTATTAGCTATAAGTGGTTTATGCTCTGATACTCATCCCTTAATTTTAATCATCGTCATCTT